TGAGCTGTCAAAACTAGGTCATCCCTATTGGTAGACCCAGTACGTACAATAGATATATATTCATGTAGGAACTTTTCGAATGGATGAGCGAGCTGTTATAATCAAAATATTTTAAATTTTCAAGTTTTCACTTCACGACAGAAGTGAAAACTTGAAAATTTATAATTGCTGTTCACCGATCGAATGTGGTTACTGACCCCTCAAACATAGAAAATCAATTTTTCTGATCATAATTTAGATATATGTGCTTATTTAGATGTTTACTAAGTATAGCGCATCTGGTCTGGGGTTGAACTCATTATCAGCGGCAAGTGATATCGATTACCCGTGATCTTATGCAAGATGCAGTTGCTTCCCTGATCTAGTGACACCATTTTCTCTGCATGCCATTCCCTGTAGATTATTTGTGTGTTTGTGTTTTGTATACAAACCTATGAGCATTCGTTCGACGCAACATTCATCCATGGAAGCCATACATTATGGAACTCAATAAACAAACATACGAAGGCACGCTCCACAAATTAATATTTTTTTCTCCGTTCGTCAAATTTTTCGTCTGGATATCGGTCCCACACAGTATCACATCGTTTCATACTTAACCTGTGGCTACTATCTACTAGATAGTATTTTTATAGAACTTATCTTAAACTTCATTAACTATTTAATATTACTTGAACATTGCAAAATAATTTGATTCTCTTAATTTACCTCTCATGGGAAGAGCTATAAACAAAGCTGGCTTACTGCACGTGTAATTTAGACTAAACTGTAATAGAATATCATCACAGAGTTTTATGTGTAGTAAAAATAGAGAATCGTTAAAGCAACAATGTATAACATATAGTAAGTATACATTTGGAACGATTTGACACTAAATATTAATGTCCTTTTAATTTGTTATTTTACAGGCAAAAAAAAGTACCTAACTTTTTTTTGCCTGTAAAATAACAAATTAAAAGATTTTGAATCAGAAATCGATTAAGATCTTACTAGGCTGCCTATTAGGCTAAAAACTTTTTATTAACTTTTTGAATGCCTCTTCTGGTAAAGTACAGACTGCGTACAGGCTAGTCTAATGGTCGTGATCAAAGACATGAATGAGGTTCTCTCATAGTTGGTTTAATAGTGTTTTCATTTAGGTAGTAGTGATTTGAGAGGGAGAATGCTTAGTAGGCTTAGGTAATTACGGCCTGCCGATAATGCATCAAGAACTGTGGATATTTATCCCACAACTAACTACTCTTTGTCTTTCATCACTATGTATGTAAGTACGTAAATATTTGTGTATTGAAATAATTAGTAAAGTTTCATTGTCATTCATCAAAAGGTCATTGTCTTTGAGTATCAATATATTTTAAGTATTTTATCATAGTTATTTACCTACATTAAAAATTCATAATGCACTGATCTCAAAGTCAATCTCATAAATATAAAGCTCCTCAACTGCCTGTATTTTCAATTCATTTTATACATTTTATGGTTACCTTAGCATAAGACATCCTTCCTACATTATTTTATCGAACGAAAAATCTACATATATCCACATGATGCCTGTTTCAATTTAATACACGATGTACAAATAAAGCGTTATCTATCGAATATTCATGAGATAAAAAAATTAATGTGAATGCATGTACAGGTGCTACATTACAAAAAAAGGAAACAAACTACATATTTACATGTTTCGTGTGCACTTGCATACTATGTTTATACCTTCTTATACAAAAACTAGTCAAGTTCACATTAAACTGGTCACAGGATTTATCTATCAACAGGGTTGAACTTGATGCAAAATTCTAGTCTGTTTACGTTTTTTGTGACTAAGAACTTAAGTCAGTCATATTTTGATCTATCTTTAGATATTTTGTTAGTCTATAATACCACTACAAATATCTTTCAATTACGCATTGACTAGGATAATAATAATAATAATCGCCCTCTCTAATTTGCTCACGTTAGACGGCTGATCAAGGGTCTGATACAGAAGGCAGTTGTCCTTGACACGGCCCGTATAGTGAGGAGGTTCCTGTCTTTGAAGTCCTAACCATCGGTGTCTTGGTCCCTGTACCCGATGTCGGTGGTCTACTTTTTTTAACATTTTTAAATATTTTTCTTTGTAATATATTTAAAAATGTAATTAATATATAGAGTAATAAAGAGAATAATAATAATAATGGAATGGAATTGAAATGTGGGCCATTTATTTTAGCGTTTCTTTGTACAGTACATAAGAAAACAAACGAGCAGACAGTTAAACTGAGGATAAGTGACTACCGCTGCCCTCACATGGACACCTACAACTCAAGAGACACACGTGCGTCGCCGCCCTTTAAGTCCCTCCCCCTAGTATCAGGGGAGGCTGAACACGGGTTTTTTCTGAAACCATGATATTACTCTGACCGCTCCTGTCTATGTGAGCCGAAGCATGGCTCTACCATGAAAGAAAATGATGCTTGAACGACGATGCTTGCCTTGACGAATCACTGTTTCGACTTTTATACTTTGAGGTTTTCTTATTACAGATAACATAGACCAATGCTAATTGCTTTAATTTCGCCAGACATTGTACAGAGCCAATTAAGTCGCAACAATCCAAGTCGGTCCAGACCTCACAAAATGCATCAACTTTTCTGATAATCCTTACATCCTCATTAAAGACAATTCTCGTACTAGAAATAGTTTATGTAAGACTTGTTAAATATTCGAACAATATACGCAAACTACATGCAGGCTCCGGTCAACAACTTGTATCACAAATTGATACAAGTTGTTGACCGGATTGAACAAATATTTTGTATCGTGTAGAAATCAATCACTCGCCGCACCGAAGCAACAGCTTCAACCATTGTGGAATCCATGCATTTAGCACAATTTATTATAATAATACATTGCGCGCATACAAATTTTCATCTATTTCATAACTGTAGAGCGCATCCAGGAGACAGAGTCGGGTAGGAATAGGAAATGCTAAAACATTGTGGAAAGCCTAGCCCTGTACTAAATTTTAAGTTTCTGGGTGTACTAGAATCAATCAATCTATTAAAACATTTTTAACATGAGCAATGTCTGTTCCTCCACAACTATTTTAATTTTATTTTTACATAGTACATGCATGCATCTATTCAAAGCCTTTCTTTAAGAAATTGTTTTTGTAATTGAAATGATGATATCTAAATTTCACATTTGCCTGTCATTATTATTTTTAAAATCCGGTACATATCGCGTAGCTCACCTCTACGAGTTTCGTAGAGCGAAGAAATGTTGCGGTTAAGACTTATCAAAAGGTAGAAAATTATTGTTCTCATTGTTCATCACTTTTCGGACACAACTAAAGAAAAGAAATCATTAACTCTTTTGTGATAAATTAGCACCACACATTCCGAGCTAATTTAATCCGACAAATTAGAATCGATGCAGGCTTCAAACTTCTAATGCACAGAAGTACCTATTAATCTGTTTGTAAAGCCGTTATTTTTTTTACGGAAGATAGGGCAGAAGAGCAGACACCTGATGGAAAGTGACTACCGCCGCCTATGACCGTCTGCTACTCAGGAGCCACAAGTGCGTTGCCGGACTTTGAGGAACGAGTACCTCTTTTCTTGAAGGTCGTATGGGTCCGGTAATCCCACAGACAATAACTTGTTAAACAGAATAATTGTGCAAGGCAAAAAGTGACTTGAAAAGCGCACAGTAGTAGAGCACCAAGTATCTAGCACCAAGTGTCTATCAAACTGTTTTCTTCTTCTTTAAGAACAAGATGACAACCAGGTACTTTAGGAACTAGATGGTAAAGTGGGCAGTGTATTAAAAAGAAAGGTAGATGAGATGGAAAGGCAATGTTTTGAAATTAATATTCCAACTGGATTTGAAGCTGGAAAGTCTGAATTTTCTAACCCAGTAACGTATACAACAAAGGCTGCAGATATCCTTTATAAAACGCCGCGTCATCAGCTAATACATTTGCTTAGGTATTTATCATTAGACCATCTCGGGTCCATGTTATATTGTATTTGAAGCGAACAGACATATTGAAACGAACAGACGGGTCACCTGATGGAAAGCGACTACCGCCGCCCATGAACACTTGCAGGTCAGGAGTCATAAGCGCGTTGTCGGCCTTTGAAGAAAGAGTACACTCTTTTCTTGAAGGTTTGAGGTCGTAAAGGTCCGGAAATACCGCAGACGATAACTTGTTCCAATTCCAGCAACTGCTGCTTGCAGGCGTGCTTCTTCTAATTTTACTTTTTGTTGATTTTGATTGTGCTGCATAGATAAATTTCAAACTTTTAATGTCAATATATTCTGGCAGCATGCGTTTAATATCATAATATTAAACTTTAATATTATTGTCAAAGAACAATTACCGGTTGGCAAATTGCAACATTAGGCGATTCACTGCTGTAATGACAGCTCTATCTTCTGTCTTGTACAGTACCTATGAAGCGCCCTACTTTACAGGGCAGCAGATGTTAGGTTGATGTTATTACAAACTTGGATATTTACACCATTAAGGTGTAAATATCCAAGTTTGTAGTTGGACGTTTGTTACTCAAATGGCGCTCTGGCTAATAAGTAGATTTGTATTGCTTTTAGCACATAGATAGACACTTCGCCCACATTCACGGTCTCATAACAGTCTCATCTATGTATATACCTTCAAATTATGATAAAACATTTCAAATCCTATGCATCGGCATTGTGTGGGTGTAATATTAATATTTTTTTACATACACACAAACACATTCATCATGTTTGTATCAAAATAAAGATATATCACCGTTGAAGGCCATTGCGGCATAAACTGTTTAAAAGTCTATTTTACAAATTTGAAAGTCAAAACATAATGAGTTTAGCTTTTTGTAAGTATTGTACCATCACGCGTCTACTTAGAAGTGTCATTTCAGCCCATCCTTACATAAAATAAATGAACAATAGTTATAGGTAATGCCTAGGTCTTGTGTAATTGTTAACGCGACCCTCCTTAACATCCAACTTATTCAATGGCAACAAAGCTTAGCTCCATAAAACATCGTAAGTCATGCCTTAGCATCGTCGGCGGCCAGCCCGACAAACGATATGTCACGGCACGTAGTACAATGCAAACAGTCGGCGTCTATGTCGGCACTTGTGATGCTCTGTGCCAGTGTCACAACAGTCGCAACACACAAATGTGGCGAGGCCGCGGCGCCGCGACTAATCGCGCGACAATACCGGCGCGTTGGCCCGCTATGCCGCACCGAGCGATCAAAGCCGTGCGGTGGCGACAAAGCGTTTGTGCGCGGGCGGTCGCTCGCACGCACGCTCTAGCCGCATTGCCATTACACCTTGCAGACCCATCATGTAAAGTAACAATTGCGACTTCGACTCTCCATTACATAGGTACATATACAACCTAATGACTACCGCCTTTGTAAGCCCAAACTTAGATTTAAATCAACAATAGTAACACGAGTAGTTTAGATGTCGGACATTAAATCTGTTTAATGCATCACCGGTGCGATTGCAAATCGAACTCAATCAACTGTCGGGTTTTATTAATCTATTCTTCATTAGACACTACTGTCTGATCTGCCCGCTTTCAATTGAAACAATATTTAATGCTTTACCGACCCAAGAATAAAATAAAACGGTAGAACCATAAACATTCCACATTTATATTCGACCTCTGACGGCCGGTCGGACGCTGGCTCTCTTTTCTCCGCGTGTGTTGCGTCTCTTTCCAACTGCGCCGGATCGTCTGCGAGCTTCGCGCACCTCTCTGTTTAAAGATCCGAGAGGGAGATAAAAATTGTATGGCTCATAATGTTTTAACAGTCTCATCGTTTGAGCGCATCAAGCCGAGGTCCAATTTAATTTTCATCCTCGGGTTAGTATTAATTGAGTCGATTCGTTCTATGCGGCGAGAAGTTGGCGCAGAAGCCGACAACTGTTTCAAAGCCTGCGTAATCAATTCCTTCTAATTGATTATTTCGACTCTCACATCTGAAAATATTCTCGTCAAGTGTCTATAAATTAGTCACCAATCTCCATTAACATCACCTTTTTTCGAAAATGTAACTTGAAGTTTAGTAAGAATTCTAATTGTTTTTTTATGACTTTCTATAACTTTGAAATTAAGAGGCATTGCATTAACAACTACTTACTAAAAGGCTTTTCTACCTTTTTTATAATATTTAAATCGAATTGTTGCCCTAGCTTACTTGGAATCTTTTTATTAAAGGCTTCCAATAAAAAATGAAGTAAATTTTGCGATGTTATTATCTCACACACGTAATTGGTCACAGTCGTCAACAATGGCAGCAACACACCGGCCCGCACCACCTACATTACAAAACGTCTGTCGGCGAGCCACAAAGCCTCTTGACATATACAAATAAATAACATCGGAACAACAAATATTTTAATAACCAACTCTAAAGAATTGTTGAACGCTTCGTTATAAGTACATGCGTGACACACTGGGCCGACGGTTGTCGCGGCGTTACGTGTATGCTACCTGCGTACTATGGCACTAGGTATATTTACCTATTCAACAAACCATTGTATTACAAAAGTACACGTGTATAAGTTCCATTTTCGGATATTTCTGCACGTGCAAATACGTAAGCACGGACGGACGGCATGACCAATGTCAGCAAGATGGATTCAGTGTTGAATAAGGGTCTTTTCGAAAACATAAAGTTTTATAGCAACATAAGAAACGGCCGATGGAAAATCGGAAAGGTAAGCGTGAAATGTGGCAGATGTGTCGTCATAAAACGGACACTCAATCCGTCACGGGTCTCCACTACATCTATAGGTATTTAAAGTAGCATTCGAATATCTGGAAACCAAAGATACTTAATAGGAAATATTTCGATCACAAAACCGATAAAATGAAACAATCAAATTGTTACAAACCTAGAGTCTTTTAAATGTTGTTCTCGATTACTCGCTAATTTACATGTAATGTTTAATTCATGTCTTGTTCTTAGCGATATAAAACTGTAGTATAAATGGGGCCAGTTTACATAATAAAGACTTGTACTTGAAAAGTCCTTTCATGTAGAATTTTCTTGATGATGATGTTGATGATAACTTCTAATATTGCTTTTAATGTGTATTAGAAGTTACATAATATATAAACAAGTGTGTATAGAAATCGTTAGCAACTCATCAGCTTTTGATTAACTCTTAAATAATCACCATCAATCATCAACAGCCTTTAACAATCCACTGCTGGACACAGGCCTCTCCTTAGAACGGAGGTTTTGGCCTTTTATACCATGTTGGTATAGGGTTTTTGTCAAGTTTTCCTTCTCTTTGCAGTGCTGTTGTCTTGCGTAGTTTGCTCCCTTAGTCGACTCTTACGGCACCACGGGATGAATAGGTTCTTAATCCGTCACCACACAGACTGACGTGAATAACTCTTAAAATTACAAGGAATTGTTTAATAGCATAGGGTAGCAGACGAGTCACACGATATTAAGTGACCATTGTCGCCGCCCTTTAATTTGGGTAGTTCGGGCTCCGGTAACCTCTTTCACTCAGTGAAAAGCAAAAACAGAATTAATGAACTGCTTACTTGACTGCAGGATTAGGTTTAAGCGGTCACCTCGCCGCTTCGTACTGCGCTAATTGATGTGGGTGCGAACCCCACACGGGACCACACTTTGTGTGATCCACAAATTGTTGTTAAAGGAAAGACTTTTTTTTAAATTCAGTCGTATTTCAAAAGAAACATAATAGATTTAGGTGTATAGGTGATAAAACTATTTAAAAAAGTAGTAGCCTTGTTGCTGTAAATGTCTTTAATTTGGATATTTCCCCCGTACCCTGAATTCACCAACAATCAAGGCATTTAGGTAGAAAGGCACATTAAAGTAAAGTTACTCAGTACAATCTGCTATTGACAATAACTAATTTGAACCAAATTAATCTCTCCCCTAACCCTTTTATTTAAATTGACTCCTAGACTTTCAATGAAAAAGAAAAGAATGAAACAATTTAATTTTATAAATATAACATCAAATATCATCTTATCTGTTTTTATCTGTTAGACATGTATTTTTTTTGTGTCAATCTCAGTCAAAGTTATTAATACATAGTAGGTATACACTAGTATTATAAACTAGTAGCAAATCAAGAAGTCCGTTTAAATGACAGCCTACGTTTCATAAAAAGCCATATTTGATATTTAGAGACTCTTTTACATTCACATAAATATGTAAATAATCCGACATATGGAGAAATCACTTAATTAAGTCGGTATCACTTCAATCATACATCGAATCTTATGAATAACTGACAAATTTCAATATCGAAGATCAAAGTTTTAATTAATCATTTAGTTTCATATTTTAATAAAATCAAGTTTAAATCAAGAATTCCTTCAATTTAGTAGAAACATAATAATATTCGACAGCAAATTATTCAAGTACAGGATTTAGGAGGTAGCTTATTAGAAACATAATTGGCAAGCTACTTACTAAATCTCCAAGGTTGAACTCAGAAAAAGGGACATCAAATTTCTAGATTACTTCTGGCTCAAAAGCAAATTTTATTCCATTCTATGTTACTTTTTGCTCTTTGAGATTTGGTGCCTATAGCAAAGGAAAGGTTGAAGATGAATTTTGTAAAACACGCATTCCCATAAAGTGCAGTATTTTAAAATAAATCTTACCAAAAAAAAGATGTAGAATGTTGCCTATAGGAGACTATATGTCTCGCACTGTGAAAGAGTTATCAGATCTCATGTAGAGCTAAACTTCTAACTCTACACGCCATAATTCTACAAGCCCTGACTTCACAATTTCTGCACCATGGTCAAAATCTGTGGCTACGTTTATTTTAGCACAAAATAAACTGTACAAAATGTGTAAAATATAAGTAATGCATCCAAATTGATAAAAATTATTTTTTATCCTCAGAATGACGAAAAAGCCTGTTCAACTCCCAAGAACCGCTCGTCATGTAGACTCTATACAAAAACGCTAACGCCCATCTTCTTAACGAAGTCTTATGGTCACTTGTTTTTTATCTACAACATAACAAGTCCATTTCGTAATCATTATCTTCCTTTAAGTGAAAGTCATGGTGCTCACAGGTAACCGATACCTCATATAGACCCTCGTTTAATATATCACCTAATTTTACAATGATTGTTAGATCACAATTTCAGCATGACAAAAGCCTCAATTATTCGAAAATACAACGTACAATACATATATATACTAATATTATAACTGCGACAGTAACTCTGCTGGCTGTTAGGATTTGACGACTACACCGCTGAACCGATTTCAATGGCAAATTTGCCATGGAGATACTCTGATTGTTAAGGAATAGGGCATAGGCTACTTTTCTTATCACAATAACCAACATACAGGCGGGGGAAGCTAGTATTAAATATAAGTCACAATTTTCCGTCACAATGTTCCTCTGTGTAATCTAAAAGTTAAAATACATATTCATTTAAGAATTACACACGGAGATATAATTGCTGTTTTGATGTTTAGGTTGTCGATGTCGATGTAGGTGGATGTCTCATTTCTTAAGGCTGGCTGTAGCAAATAAAGATGAACAATAGATACAGGATGCATGCTGATACATAATAGGTGAATACTGTCATGGCGGCAGCTCGGCTTTCATGTTTTGATAGATTTAGTTCAACAAGACGTTTTATGAGATTTTATTACAATGACAACGATACAACTTGTTTTATAACGGATACTGTTTTTTTTTTCGAAATTGAGCATGGTCACATGTAACAGGAAAAACTTAAATACGTTACCAAAAATTTGGTGCAGCATAAAAAGTGATAACGGTTTGGGGAAACCCCTATTATTTCCTTATTTATTTTTGTATTTCTTTTGCCTTAGTTAAAGAAAAGGCCAAATAAACCTTGTAATTTCTTAAAGCCGTCTACATAAATAATTGTTTCCATGTAGAACAATTAAACCATCCGTACCTAAATGCCTACGTTAAATCGTGCTTCTACCGGCTTTTCGTTTTATGTGTCTAGTTCAGTTCATGGCAGATTACTCGATAGGAACGCTGTTGGTGGTATTGTGATAATGGCACGTGGCTATAAAAGTGGTCGGGTCGGCAGACAACGCGGCGAGTCGAGCAGACGCGCAGGCACCGAGTCTTCACTCTCCAGGTGTTGCTACATCAAAAAACAAAGGCGATCATCCTTTCTGTAGTAATAAATAATAATAATGGTAATGTCGATTTTTTGAGTCATAAATGATTGGAACACATGGAGTTTTAAATGTCAAACACTTGAAAGGTAAAAATATTTTTTTTTTCTAGTATTAATAAAAATAATGTTCTTTGTTTAGTGCCTTAGATAAAGGATACATGCAATGTTATTCCAAATCGATTTATTTATTTCAAATGGATAAGACGGTTGCCG